ACTGATGTCTTGTTTTTATTTTCTCAAAAAAAATTATGATTTCCCAAAACATGATTCTCTTTCAAATCTGCTTCAACCTAATTTTAATGTCAAGCTTCCTCTTTAATACTTTTAGTTTGTAATTAGGCTTTTGCTACATTTAGCTAGTTTTTTGCTACTTTATGTTAGCTTTTTTGTACTGTAAGCTTCTAGATTCAATTTGAATACTTTTAGCTAGCCTTAAGCTAATTTTAACTTCTAGCTTCCTATTTAAAACTTTTAGCTTTTACCTAGGCTTTTGCTACATTTAGCTAGCCTTTTGCTATTTTATGTTAGCTTTTTGGTACTTTTAGCTTCTAGCATCCATTTGAATAATTTTAGCTTTTAACTAGTGTTTTGCTGCTTTTGGATTCCAGCTAGTTTTCTGCCTTTTTTAGTTTTAACGGTTCACTTTTTACTTCATCAGCAAATCCCAGCACCCAGCTTCCTGATCAATGCGCTAACGGCTAACCTGAGCGAAGCCGAGATCAAAGAGGATTGCCAACATCTTAAGTCAACTTCAGTCAAACATTTATGTAAGTAATTCATTTTGAATTCATTTTAGAAACCTTTACATTGTCATCAGATTTACATCACACGCAGTAAATTTCTGTGAAAGAAATATCATACAACCCCAAACATGCTGTGTATTAAAGGTTCATGAAATAGTATTTTCATCAATTACTATAACATGCTTGAGACTGGAGCCGTTTTATAGGTTTTGGTATGATCAATCCAGTCAAAATGAAAGTACCTTTTCAAAATATGAACTCTTTATGACCTTTCTACAAAACCTAACTTAAAACATACTGTCCTTTTGAAATCAATAACTGTGTTTATAAACTCATTATTGTACCTCCAGTTTAGATTTTTTTCTGTCAGCTCCTGCATTTATTTAAGCAACTTACTTGGAAAGTACATATAATCTTATTCAAAGAAACTGTAATTAATCATAATACACTGAACTTTCCTGAATATAGCATTCACTGTTCCATCACACTTTGGCATCACATGCTACCATTTTTAGTTTTGGTTCCTAATGAGTTAGAATCTCTAAGCCTAATGTAAGGAATTTTATTTCTTAAACCTTATTAAAAGAAGTTGCTTTTAAAGTTGCAGCACCCGCCATCTGTTTATCTGCTGTTTGCTTAGAGGCATCTTGCCTTCAGGAAATTCTTAGCCCATCCGTCGTTTCAAACATTTCATTTGTTCATACTGCATTCAAATTGAGTTAAACCTCAAAATGATCAGCTGAAGGATCGCTAAATGCCCGGTGACAGCATCTTCAGCTGCTTCTTGAAAGATTCTTCTATAGAGTCCAGTGAAAACATGGATGGGAAAGTTGCTCTCGTTTTGACTGCAGTCAAGACAAGCACAGAGAAGCAGTGGGAAAAGGGCCCTGTGGTTGTCATGGCAACTGGTCTCTCATCCAACGTGACTTGATGTTCCTCCAGGTTCTGGAGGATGAGGATGTAACATGGAGGCAAATGAAGCCACAGAAGCTCCTCCGACCAGAAACTCTGACACATCATCTTCATCATTAACATCATCATCATCTGCCCGTCTGCCTCAGGCTAAAGCTGTCATTGCCCCTCATGTCACCTCTTGAGGAAAGAAGGTGACTGGGTTAACGATGGTGGTGGGGAGTGTCCTATTCATTTAATCCTTTAATCCTCCTTGAAATCTACCAGATTGGGATTATTTCATCCCACAGTGAGTGAGATGTCACAGCTCAATCTTTGAGCGAGTGATCCTGGACGAAGGCTGGAGCTGAGCTAAAGAGAAGGCTGACTCAGATACAAATATTTTATCAATGGAGCGATCTGTCACTTAGGAAGACAATCTAATCTTCTTAAGCTTGAGTTTGACAATCGAACAAATTATCTAAAAATCCTGAATCCGAGGAAGTCTTGTGTAATAACTCTGAAACACATCCGTGATTCTCAGGAGGACAAACATTCAACCACTTAATCCACAGACTCGCAGACGGATTACAGATATTTGTTGGAGAAAAACAGCAGCTGCCCAGGGGTGTTGATGAGGAGGATGTCAATGAACTTCAGTCCACTGATTCCCATTGCTCCATCACATTTATTTGTGTTTTATTCTTGATGAATGATTTTATTTCAATCTTAAACCATTCTTTATTTTAGCCCACAGTAAATTTTTTATTATTTTCAGTGTTTTATCAGCTTTAACATACAAAACAACTGTAGGCAAAGACTTCCTGTTAGAATAATAGGAGTGATTTGGACCATACGCTTAAATATTTTTAAAATGTGTTTGAAGTGTTGTAGCTTTTAAACAAAAGGTCCCCAAAGGCCATGGTCCATGAATCATTTTGCACGGGGCCACAGAGACACACTAAAACCATCTTTAAAAAAAATTATATTTTTCACATGTTTGGTCAAATGGGTATTTTATTTTGAAAAATGACCATTTTTCTTTGTGTTCCTTTTATGAGCTTGGCTCAGTTGCAGTACTTTGGACTGTGTGTGTAATCATTTAATGTTTTGTACATTTCCCCAGCCCTCACTCATCTGTAAGACAGGACAGATCGGTGCAAAACAGTGAGTATTCCTGCTTTAAACTGTCAAACATTTAAAGATATTCTGCTTGCATCCCATAGGAGGCAAAAAGGAAGCAAGAACTAAAATATCTATTTATGTCCATCCAAAATTGAAAATAATTGAAAAAACATACAAAGTAATAAGTTATGTGTTTGCTAAAGCAGTCAAAACAATGACTGGTTTATTATTAACCAAATACAGAAAATTATCCCTGTTTAAAAGGTGTTCTGTGACATTTTTGAGCTGCTTCATGGTTTATGAACCATTTGTCTAGCTGAAGAGGGAAAACATAGTTGCACACAAATGAGAATCCAAAAATGTGGTTACTCTGTAATGCAGGCTTCATCTCAGAAATGACCCCTCAAAGCTCTGCAGACTTTACAAACAGGTGTTTTAATCAGTCCAGGCTTACTTTTTTAAAAGACTCACAAAGACAGCTGACTTGTTGCAGACCTGTAGCTCTTCTGCAGTGTTCAGACAGCAGAAAGCAGCACCAGGAGCCTCCTGACACATCAACATATTTTTATGAGCTGTGCTACATTCCAGCCATCTAATGACTGCTGGGATCCACTGGGAAGAGTTCACCAGCAGTGTACTCTGACCTGTTGGACCTGGCAGATACCCCCCCCCCCCCCCCCCACCACACACACACACACACACACACAGGCACACCACACACACATAACTTGCCTACATCCACATTGGGGCTGCATGTTTTAAGAACCAACTAGCTTTGGTCCCCAATTTCCAAGGTGTCCCCAAAAAATTGGTGTGTATGCTGGTTCAAGTCCCCAAATGGAACATAAACAAACACACACACACACCGACACACACACACACACACACCAGATCACCTATCAGTTTCTAGGAGAACCTGCTGATCCGGGTCCAGAGCAGCAGGTTCTGATCGCCCCTTCAGCCTACCTGTGAGTGCTCCAGCTCCACTCCTCCTCCTGCTCCTTCTGCTCCTCTATGCTGCGCAGCGAGGAAACAGGCTGTCGGCATGGCACTGCGAAAACACGCAGCTCACACGCGCGCGCACACGCCTAGCGCAGGTGATCATCTGAGGTAGATCATTTGAGGAGGAAAGCCCCGGATCAGGTGCTGCATCGCTGAAGGAGAGCCGGGGATCTGCTGCTGTTGCGGGAGCGCGCTCCGCTTTCTTCGTGCCCGCGCTTCTTTACCCAGCTAGGCTCCTGGGGTTCCCCCCTCGGACCCCCCTCCTTTTGTACGGTTCTCGTCTCGGAGGCAGATACGAGCAGCGGAGTTGCTCCGTGGTGTTCAGCAGCTGGAGGAGCCGCAGTTGTGTGGAGTTAGGTAATGCTGGAATTACATAAGCCTCCCCTCTGTGGGTGGGTGGTGACAGAAAGAGGAGTGAAAACTGCTCTTCAAATCCTTCCTGCATCAACTCCTTTTCTTGTTTGTCCTCTGAAAGACAAAGGGACATTTTTGCTTGGGGCTTTTCTTCACTAGTTTAGTGTCCATTGAGCTTTGATTGAGTCAGGTCAGGGTTTTAGATAGCTGCTTTTGTTCTGACACGTTTACACTGTTGGATTTAGTTTGAATGGTGCAGCCATGTTGTAATTTTGGACCAGAGTCTGCACCATCAACTTGAATAAATGTGGACAAATCAACTCCATCAACGTCCATTTAACCATCCTTTATCTTAACTGCTTCTTCCTTTCTGGGTCGTGGAGTCACTGGTGCCCATATCCAGCCATCACTGTGCGAGAGGCACCTGGCCTGGTCTCCAGTCCATGACACATAGAGACAATCATTCACACACTCGATCACAAAAATTTAAATACCAATTAGTCTAACATGTAGGATTTTTGTCTGTGGAAGGAGTACCCGATACTCCAAGCAGGATTCAACCCGTTGACCTTGATGCTCTACTGCACCACTGTGTCACTTCAACTGTCCAGAGCTAAATCAGAAGTGTTGTCTTTAATAATGGGGCGGCTGTGACTGAGTGGTTAGAGCAGTTGTCCTCCAATGCGAGAGTTGGGGGTTTTAATCCACCAACAGTCACATTCTGAAGTGTCCATGGGCAAGACACTGAACCCCTCATAGCCTCTGATGTGTGTCCCATCAGTGTATGAATGTGATCTAAAAGCTCTGATTAGTCTCTTTAGAATGATTTGTTCCATTAGCTTTGTAGAGATCTAGTAGAGTGCTGTATGAATGGATAAATGAGGCACAGATTGTAGTGTAAAGTGCTTTGAGTATCTTGAAATAAGATAAAACGGCGCTATATAAGTACAGTCCATTTACCATTTAAGGTGGTGCTGTCATTCATTCAACCTTTATTTATGCAGGTTAATCCCAAATGAGCCATGGGGACTCATTTACAAGAGAGACATGAAACCATGTTGTGGTTTTGAAGTTTAGAGTCAGACTCAGGAACCTGGGACTTTCGGGTCCCGAGTCGGCTGCCCTGCCTCTACCCCATGTCAGCCCCCATACAATGGCTTAGACTTGTTTATAGCAGTTTATGGGAGGTGCCATTTTGTATTTTTGGAACCAGAGTCTGCTCACTAACAGTGTAGAACTTTTTCAGCAAAAATACTAAAATTAATGTTTATTTGAAGGTTTATAGGATTACACAAAGTCTCAAAGCAACATAATTTGGTCAAAAGGCTATAAGGTAACATTCACAGGGTGCATTTTTTCTTGTCTTTACGTCTCCTTTCTTTGGAGCTTATATGAGTCAAGGGAGGAAAACTAAATGTACTCCTCCCCTCTTCTCCTTGCAACTTGTGTCTTTTGAGTTGGATGTTTGAACACAAAAACATCACTGAAGAGCCTTTAGTACCTAAACCAACATTTGACATGTTGCACACATTTGAGCAGTCTTATAATCCCACATTAAAGTGGACCTGGTGATTAAACACCAAACTATAGAAACAAGCTCACTGAACTAGGCTTTTTTTTTTAATAATTACTTTGCTTTGTGAGGAAGTGAATCCAGACACCAAAATGTATGTACTTAAAACAAAAATATATAGTTTTAATTGAATGACTCCTTTCAGAAAATATGAAACAAGAGTCCTGGAATCAAATCACTTTGTGAGCCTAAAAATGTGTTCGCAACAACAATGAAGGACACAAAGCACTAACCCATTCAAGAATCAGCTTTGAAACTTAAGCAGCGAGGCCTCAAAGGGTTCGAGTGTTTGAACAGTGGATTAACTGAACTTTGCATTTCACGCAGGTGTGTGCGGCTCATTTGTTTGCTTCCCAGCCTTCCTGACGGGATTTTTTTTTTTTTTTTTACGAAAGCACAAAGGTCGTTGTAGCAGACGTCTTTCAGGACATTTGTTTTCCTTCTCGTTGCATGTCCATTGCACTTTTCAGTCCTTAAAGAGATAGTTTAGATCTTTTGAAAAAAATAAGTTTTATGTGG